AAATGAAACGTAAAAACTTTTGGTAGGTTATTTCTGGGACACCCTGTATTTCAACCAGGTGATCAAATCATTAGTGAAGGAACTATTGGAGATAAAATATATTTTGTACAAGAAGGAATTGTTGATATTATTTCATCTGATGAAGAAGTTTTAACTACATTATTTGATGGACCTTATTTTCGAGGTTTTCTTTGATTTTTATCTTTATATATCAATTAAATTATTCTTTTTTAGAAATTTGTTTATTAACTCGAGCTAAACGTGTCGCAAGTGTTCGTTGTGTAACATATTATAATTTATATTTATTAGATGCAAATCAATTTGAAAGAGTACTTGATTGATATCCATTAATGAGAAGAACAATGGAATCAGTTGTTGCTGAAAGATTAAATAAATTAGGAAAAAAATCCATCAATAATATCAACACAACATGATTTAAAAGGTGATGCTGCTGGTTTAAAAGATATGATTGATCGTGTTACACGTCAATCATCAAGTGATGAATATTCTGATGAAGATCAAGATAAAGACCAAGATTGTCAAATATCATCATCTTCTTCTTCGTCATCAAACACAAATAAAAGAATTGATTTAAACTCGTCATTCATATCTTTACATAAACAATTTCATAAATCCAATGATCAATTGGAATATTTGAATAAAAGAATAAAAAGAAAATCTTTATCAGAAGAAAAAAAAACTTGAAAAATTAAGTCGCCTCTTTTTAGTAGCACCAACATCAACATTAAATTGAACATTTGATGAAAATAAAAATCAACTTTGTAAATCCTCTTCTACTCCTTGGTCACTTTTTCGAAAAAGTGTTCCACCAATACCTTCTCTTTCTAATCAATCCACAAATTAATTTTCAGTTTCTTTTTTTTTTTTATTTTATGTCGATTTATTAAGAATTTTATTTTAAAAAAAAATAATTATCAAAAGATATCATCCTTTTACTATCGAAAATAATTCAATATCTTTCATTCATCAAATATTCTTTTATTTATATATTTCATCTGATTATTTATTTCTTCCTAAAAAACAAATTTACCTTTGCACATCATCATTAACTATTTCATATTTATTATCGAAATTCAACCAGATCATATTAACAGATGATTTTATCAAGAAAAATCTTTTCATTTTTATCATTATAAAAAAATTCCTCGATAAAAGTCTCTTACCAATTTATTAGAAATAGTTTCGTCTAATCATAATAAATATCATATCCATTAACGTTTGTTTACATTAAATAAACAATTCATTGGCGTTTTTTCTTCTTCTAATATAAATTCTTGAGAGAATTAATTCACTAGACAAATTATTTTTATTAGAAAATATTAAAAATTAAAATAAATCATCTTCTTTAAATCGAGTAAAGAGAAAAAATTTCTTTTCAACTGATTTAGAATTTCAGAAGAAAAAGTATCGAATATGTTTAAAAAGAATTAGTTGTTTGTTCTATTGATAATAAATAATGTTGAAAAATTATTTTCTGGATATATCATCAAGATATTTTCTCAGGAAATCTTATTTCACCATAAAAAATATTCTTTTTTTTTTAAGACTGCCTCCCCCTCTCCAAAATCGATTTTCGTTATAGTGCATGGGATTTTCACAAAACTTTGTAGGAATGTTTGGCCCATGGTTATACATTTATAAAAAAATTTTCAGGGCTCTAACCCTTACTGTTCGGAAGATTTCGAGGAATCAAGGTGCAAAATAGGGCTTCCACGCGAACAGAAAATTTTTCAATACACTTCAAGCTACAGCGTTCGGCTTTGTCTCTTTTGAAAGAGAATTTCTCGCTGCTTCGGATGAGGGATTAAAGGATTTTCTAATATTTTTATTGTGTTTCATTTTTACAACTCTCGAAACCTTAAAGCTCTGAAAATCCTAGTCATGGTTTTCTGGAAAATCTTTGGTTTATTCGATATTAAGGGTCAAATACAAATTCCATTTCCCTCATTCGAAAGAGGATTCACAAGGGGGAAACAGCTAAAATCAGATTTTTTTGATTTTAAATCAAAAAAATCAAAAAAAATCAAAAAATCAAAAAAAAAATCAGAAAAATCAAAAAAAATCAGAAAAATCAGTAAATTCAGAAAAATCAAAAAAATCAAAGAAAATCAGAAAAATCAAAAAAAATCTGATTTCAGCTGATTTCACTCTTGATTGATGTTTTTAAACAAAAGAAATTAAAAATTTTCTGATTTTTTTGATTTAGCTGATTAAACTGATTATTTTGATTTAACTGATTAAACTGATTTTTTTGACTTAAAATTGATTAAAATCAGCTGTTTCCCCCTTGATTAATACACTAAATACGTTAAAACGTAAAAAACCGGACACTCTTCATACGTTTAAATGTGTTCAAGGAAATCGTTTTAATGTTAGTGCAGGCAGTTAGTTCTTGTTCAACGCATTTTAATCAGTTTATGGTTGTTTTAATGTAGATTCGACCAAAGGAACTTATATTTACGAAGCAGCCAAAATATTCAACGTTTTTTATCAAAGTCACAATTAGGATCAATTAAATTTCTAAAAATCGATTTATATTAGATTGTTTGATTTTTAATCAATTTTAATCGATTTTTAAGTATAAAGAATCAATAAGACAGATTTTTACTAGTTCTCTCTACCTGGGAATATCAATTTCGAGTTCGAATAAAAGCTTGATTTGTAAATTCAAAAAAAAAGTACATTACTATAAAATTTAACGAAATTAAATTTCTATAGTTACAATAATCTATATTCGAATTCGAATGCAAAGCTAAGCATACTTAGTTGTGCGTGTAGGCATCACACAATAGTAGCTTGACAATAAGCTAAACACTCTTCGCAGATACTTTATAGACAAATAACCATGCTTATCTGTGTACAAACTTACTTTATATTTCATCACATTGATCAATCGAAGTTATTCATTACAAATCTTCTATCCAAGAGCGTGCTTTTCGAATTGAGACTGATGTTAAATTTTCTCCTGCTCGTAAATCTATGCTTTCATTCAGTACCCAATCGAATTGGGAACATTTATCGTTAATAAATTGATAACTGTTTTCTTTACTTCAAATGTACTTTTGTTTGTAGAGAATGTTAAATGAATGATTTATAAGCAGCGACTATTCTCAAACTTTTTTATGTTAACCCATTAAAACGGACGACTATACATGTTAAAACATGTTCATGGACCCAATGCCATTGTTAAACCCGTTAAAACACGTCAACAGTAAAAAAACATACCATTTTCACGCGTTGAATTCTTTAACTTGTCTTCTTCAATTTTCATCATCAACGCGTGAAAACAATGTTTCTGATGTTTATGTATTTGAATGGGTATATGTCATACACCAGCCGTCATAAGGTAGAAAAATTATATAAAGATCGCCAAAAGCTCGATACTGTAGAACTTCCCTATGTGAACACCTCCCTGTTGTGGATACTTCTCGGTCCGCCCGAGCTATTTTTGCTTGAAATGAACCTCTCGAATGTGGACACCTCTGTATTCTGGACCATTAGTGATCCCGGCCCGTTAATGCTCTGGACTGTGGCCACTTTTTTTGAGTCCCGCCTACAGTGAACAATCTCCCCAAAATGGACACTTGCTCAAGTTAAGCATACTTTTCAGTTCAGTCAGAGCTGTACATAGGGTGTGGGTGTGCTGAAAAAAAGCTTGACGCTCACAAAATCACACACACCCTCCCATACCCACACTCATACCCCGCACACCCACACCCACAGTCATACCCCACACCCCACAGTCATACCCCACACCCCACACTCATACCCACAGTGCCACACACACCGACATCCTCACCCATCCTCAAGGGACCCAGTCGTCAGCTGGGTCGCAATCGTGATTATGGCAGCGCATACTCACCATCAAGGTCGATCTATTTTCGATTGATACAATTGCATGTTTATTGCCATGTCTTAGCTGATGGTGTTATCGTAATACGCTTGTCTTTCTTTAGACAATCATTCTGACGATGGCTCAATGGTTCCCTTCAATGGGAACTTACATCGACATCGTCCACGAACAAGATGCTGAGAACTGTATCTCAATTCATGGGTATTTATTTCTATAAGAATAGTCAAGAAACTTATTAATTAAATGACACCATAACAGTCTGATTTTGTTAAAGAACATAAACAGATTTTAGTAAAATTCTAAATCCATTAATTCAATGTTACTGCATAAGGAGAGTTCAATTTGTGTGTCAGTTGCAAACAGCTAAGAGAACACCGATATTGTTTGAAGCCTGGTTTGCGACAATAATATCGAGTTTGCTGTCTCCATTGACATCGGCTGCTGCC